TAATCATTATTTTTTTTTTGGTCTCCTTTCTCACTTCTTTTCATGATTTTTTTTTTACAAACAATTTCTACTTCATATTAGTATTTATTTTGTTTTTTTCTTATTAACTTATCTATGGTTAGTCGTAATTTAGCAATAGCGATTGAAGCAGAGTGGACGGGAACAATCGCTTTATTAAAAGTAAAATTGAGTTGCAACTTGTAAATGGCGTTCGCTAGGTTTGGAAATGTCTATTTTCTATAAAAAAACGATTTTTTATTTTTTTTACTAAATTTAGCTATAAAGTATAGAAAGCAAATTTAATGTCAATTCGATTGATAAAATGTAATTTCTCTTGACAGTAATGGGTATTTTAAAAAAAAGGAAGATTCCGAAAAAGTTATTATTTTTATAACTTGTATTACTACTAAATGTTTTGTTTAGAATTCCCTTCCAGTAGGTAAAATTTGACATTTTAATCATTAAAACCCTTAAGTTTTAATGTTAGATGTTTATTGATTGTAACTGGTGTTTTGTTTTTATTTAATGATCCTATTAGTCATTCGACGGCGACATTTAAAAAATTAAATGTGTTAATAAAAAAAATATTAAATTTGTATTTGCACATGCGAGATTTATGCTTTGCTATTTGTATTTGTGTTAGGAACAATTAAGAGATTTAGATTTTTCGAATTATCTATTTCTTTTATAGTTGCTTATTAAAAAAAAATGAGTTATTTATAGTATTTTTAAAATGTTCGTTTTTGTCAAATTGGTGTCGCCTGTAGCGCGATTAAAGTCTGACTTCTGTTAACCTCTGTTTAAATAAACGTCATAATATTATAATAGACGATATAAGTACCTTCTGAACAACGTGCTTGTAATGTATTTGATTTTATTGGCCGATAGCTGTTAATCGGCTCGTCGCAGCTAAGAGATTAAAACAAAGCTGTTACGAAATCGTATGGGGTTAAAGATGTCATTTGACCTCAAAAAAAATCGTTTGGGTTCAGTTGCCAATTGCCGTTAAATTCGTCCCGTTTGTTTGGCGCGTTTCCTTGAACGTTTAAGTGACATAATAGCGTATAATTAAAAAAAAAAAATACAAGAAAACACCAACCACTTTATTCTCCTATTATTATTGTTGTTGTTTATCGAGTCGGTCCGTGCGTCATCCGGATGGTTATTTAACGTTGTTATTTTTCTCGCGTTTCCAGAATTGTAATTAAATTAAATTACACCCAAAGTCGAGAGCAAAAACTTTCTACGGTCTGTGTGTGTGTGGACTTCTTTTTTTCTTGTATACGTGTTGAGTTTTTATATGTGAACCTAATTCCCGGTGTCGGAGACCGCTTTCGTTTTTTATTTTAAATAATTAATTGAATTATATACACGCTCCGTTTTTTATACACAATCTTCTTCGTTTTTTTTTTTTTTTAACAAATCGCCTTTACTTTAAATTTCCGATACTTTGAATGTCCGACGACGATTGTTCCGTTTAAAGATGAGTGGCGGCTATTAAACGTAATATGTTAGGACTGTTAAAAAACGATTTTTTTTATGTTAACTGAAAGGATTATTATAAGTAGTATTTCTTTTTTATGTCGGAATTGGATGTTTTACAATTTCGTTTGACTTTCTCGCGATTAATCATGCGAGAAAAAACCTAATCGCCATTGATAATAAATTAGAACGCAAGTCAAAGGAAACCGTTTGGGTAAATCTGACTTTTGCCCGGGGACGATCGAGATGATGATAATATTAATAATAAAATTATTATTCTTTTATATTATACTCTATAAAACTGGTCTTGACATTGATCTCCGTTATCGTTATGCCCGTTGGTGAAAGCAGTTGATAATAAAATATGATTCGTCGTAAAATCGGTAAAACGTTATTTTCACCGATTATTTGTTTATCGTGTGCCGGCGTAAGTCGGCAAATCATTCACTGCAGTCTGTACAAATCATCCACTTCTACCACACAACATACAACTGAGCGTATGAGGTTGCGTTTAATTATTGTCCAAGGCACTGTTATACAGTTTTACTTTTTAGTGTTCTTATAGGCATTATTGCTGTCTTGAAAATACATTCGACTTAATCAATAAGAATGATCGACCCTATTGGTATTGTTCTTGAGAATCATTCATTGATAATATTCTTACAGCTGTAAGTATTGATTATTGGGTACGAATCGAGTACATACTTGGTTTTATATTTATTTGTATCAAGTCATCCAGTGACAAAAATGGAATTATATTAGTAAGGTTTTTTCATGTTGATGCTGAATTTGCTATTACCCAATAATTTGATTTTTTTTTTTTATTGTAGTTTTTGTCTGATAACCTAATGAAATCGAGAATGTATCGCTTTTAAAGTCAAAGTGTTTTTTTTTCTTTTTGATTGCTTGTTGGATTTGTAGGACTATTTTTCATTTTTCACGATACACTGTCATGTAATTTTTGTGACATTAAGTATTGTAATCGTTTATATTTTCCCTTCTAGGATTTTTCGTGGCCATCCTATCGAGCTTTGATTTATTAGCTATAACTATAATAATTTGTAATCGACAAACTTTAGGGAAATGGTGATTGAAAGGACTTTGATTAGCGTAGGTATCTGCCATTTAATTATCCGACTAAGAACTACACACTGTAGTTTCTGCAGAGACATGATATTTGTTTAAGTATGTATAATATATGCAATGAATGAATATCAAAGTATGTATTGGTGTAACGAGAAGTTTGAACCAAGAGAGAGGAAATTTCTACTTACGTTTGGGTGTTGATCTCTTTATAACACCTATGATTTTCCTAGTCAATCATCTTGGAAAACACAGTCTAAAACGAGTTTATGATATTATTGTCTTGACAAAATAATGTATGTATATTTTTGTCTAACGGACACCAGTTTGTGTTATTTTCAAAATTCTTATTAACTATTTGCATGGCATAATATGGTACTTTTTTTTATCAAATACAATGACTAGTCGAAAATTAATCGAGTAGGATATTATATAATATTTTCGTTTAACCGTAATAAATATGTATTTAGTAGTTAATGACCGTGACTTTTGGATTTCTTATGGTCACATATTGTAATTGTTGTTCTGCAGGATTAGTATTGAAAGACACTAAATTTTTGTATCAAGTTTAAAAAAAAAAAATCATAATACAATAAGTTGCGATACGCAGTAGTATTTATTTTTTAATGAATCCGTGTTAACCTTCGGTAGGGTTTTGCTTACCACGCGATTCTAATGGCTTTTAAACGTTTTGTTTGTTAACTAAATCTTTGTATATAATAAGTGATCATTTTGTTTATCATTATTATTATTATTATAAATAGCCGTTGCTCTCTTATTGAACGTCTGTATAATACTAGTGGTTGGCCTCGACGCTATCCCGTGACTTAAGCGTACTTGTCAGGTGACGTGATCGCCACAGTGTTGTTACTTAAAATAAATACATAGAATAACTGTATGTATATATATATATATATATAGACAGATACGGTTCATTAAGCCGATATATTTTGTACTGCAGTTTTTAATTTAATGTTCCAGTTGGTATTTTATTCACTATTCTAGAAGACACTGCTTCATGTTTTTCAAAAATATCCAATTGTGTTTTAGTACACAAGCACATCTTGGCTTATTGTCGTTAGTTCTTTTGTATTTCACAAGAGCTTACGAGTTCATTGTCTTTAGTGTTAAATCGACAAGTAGAATAAGTGGAAATTCACCATAAATGCATGTACAATAGATATTAATTTTTTATTTTATTTCTAATGTGTACTATTCAATGACGGTGTTGAAACAATATATTATCTCGTTTTGAAATCGGTTAAATAATTATTATTCACATCAGATCTAACAATTGATGTGTTGTTAAAATGCTTGAAGAGGTAGAATTGTTCAGTTACATCATCAGTTAGATTTAAAAATCTTGGCATTATTATGATATTGTTGGTGTTTTTAATGTTTTTTTTTTTTTAAAGAAAAAACACAGGTTTTCAAATTAAAAACATAATGCTTTAAAGGCGCCAACCCGGATTGCTATAATTAATATAGACATATCTGTATCCGTGTTTATCAATTAGTGTTAAGCTCACAGCACGGTGCGCACAATATTTTTATCCCACGGCGAACCTTGAAATAAATTGTATTCGCTTGTATAAAAAAAAGGACAACACACCGACTTATGTTGTTGTTTTTATTATTGTCTTTACATAAAATGTACATTAATATATTTTACATAGTAGCTGATATTGTAACATAGTTTGTAGGGTTTAAAAACATAACGATTTTAGTATTTCATCTAGTACTTTTTTCAAAGGGTTTACAATAAAAAGAAATTAATTACATATTTTATAATAAATTATAACGTTAACGAATTGATATAATTGGTATTTATTTAAAAAATATATATATTTCACAGATTTGGTGGGTTCTCGTTGTACATTATTTTATTCTTGAATAACGAAAGGGTGATTACTATAATTGCATAGTTTTGCATTGGTTAACTCTTATAAATTGGCGTGACCGCTTTAGACATAAAATATTAACTACCACTTGTATATTATGTACATAGCTAGAAGCTATAAAATTGTTTTTAATTAGATTCAACGGTGTGTGTTGGACGGTAAATTGATTCGTTATTAGCACTTAAATTAATCAAACGTATTTTACACGAGTCGTGTATCGTTAGGTGTCTAATCAATGTTGGGTTTAGCGACCGACAGCAGATTGGATTGCAGATAATGAAATTTATGAATAAATATTAAATTAATTTTGAAACTCGTTCGTTTCTCACGCTCGTTGCGGACAAATATAAATTAAAAACGTTTGTCCGATGATGCATGGCCGACCGCAAGACCCCGCCTGACGGTTAAGTCAAGCTATGATAATTAAACAAGTAGACACAGTTAAAGAAAAAGAAATTTTTGAAAACCAAAAGGGTTAGAGTTGATTTTTGGCACTTCTAATGAACGTGTCTCCCTAGTCTGCTACGGTAATGATTTGTTTTTTTTTTTTTCATTTATTATGTATATGTGAATTCTTGTAATAGCAGAGCCGAGTTAGTGTGGTAGAAGTGTGGGGCGTAACGGGAAAGGGGGGAGAGTGAGTGTGGTCAGATGAATATCTTGTCCAATAGCTCTTTGGTGACAACCCTGTGCGGTCGGTCCGGCCGTGGGGTGGTCCGGTACAGCCGTTCGTTGATGTGGTACAACTCTTTGCTGAGGTCGCACCGCACGTTGAACCACCAGTCGCACACGAACACCGCCTGGCTGAACTGCGTGCCGTTTGGGCACAGGAACGACGCCTGGCGTCCGTCGATGTCGCAGTAGTGCCACGCCTGGCACCTGGTGTCCACGTCGGCGAAGAACCCGGGATACGGTTGGTCGTCGCAGTAGAAATCCGTGTACGGCACCACGGCCAGCACGGGGTAGTCCGTGCCCGGTTTACCTGTGTGACGAACAAATGTGTTGTATATAATATGTCAATTTATTCTTAGAATAAGTGGTTAATATTTTTTAATTAAAACAAAATTCTGTATATTTTGTACACTTGTTGATTTGTCAATGTTGAGAACTAACTGTACGGTTAACCATTTAAAAAAAAAAAAACAATTTTTGAAAGAGAAATGAAATAAAAACATAAGAACACATGGAAAACACAAATTGTATTTTGTTCTTATATGAAATTTCATCAAATTTACTAGTATTCGTTTGATTTTTACCGTTTAGAAAAATGAAATAAAAAATTCTGTCAATGTGAAATGATTCTTTCTCTCGTTTCAAAATGAATGTAATTATTTTTTTAAAAAAAAGGCATTATCGTTTGCTTATTGATATAAACTTTGCTACTGTTGTTGTCTACAAAACATTTGCTGAATTAAAAAACATGTTAATTTGTATACTCTCACAAATTCACCGCTCTAGCTGACAATTCAGATTTTTTTTTTTTTTATAATTTCATTGTTTGTTTTAGTTGACGTTAAAGTCAAACGGAGTGCTGAGTATATTTTAGGACGGTTTGTTTGTATTATAAAGATGATAGATACAGAGTTCACTAGAGTATATGATAATATATTATTATACAACGACCGATTGACTTTTGACCTTGATTGCAACGCCAAAATCGTATAACATTCGATTGTCCTACTATGTACGCCGACGGGGCTTAGCCTTAACAACGGTTAATTGGTTTATTATGCTATTGCTCTGTTAACGCGTTGCCGGTGTATTCTATTTATTATCCTTTCTAATTTATTGGGGCAACCCGTCAAACCCAGTACCAGTCCGTCCCGTTGTTGTATTATTTTTGCGCTTTGCAAGATCCATATGTGATACGTTTGTGTCGACTTAAACGATAAAAATTGATAAATTAGACAGTTTTTTTCTTGACCTTGAAGCCTACGCTAGGCGCGTGAAGAAAACGGTACCTCGATTTTTCTCGTCGAATCAAGACCCGGTCTTTGCACGTCTAGTTAACTTGGCAATAGCTTCAAAAGTGCATTGTGAGTTGTGCACAGCGTCGTGCCTAATCGATCACGGATAAAACCTACGGACTTGGTAGCCAAATGCGCGAACATGATAACTGAAAACGATAATAATTGTTGTCCCCCCCCCCAGGTATTTACCGTGGACTTACAAAACGCCACCTGACGTGGGTACACAACGAGTATACTTAAATGATTTAGTATTTATGATGCGACAGACTGATTGTAATGGACGACGGCGTTCGTCCCCGATCGAACATTTGCGTAACACGACCACCTAAAAAAAACCGTTTGTTAAGTATACCTATCCAAAAACCTACTTTTTAACGCACACACGTACATTTGCATTGCCTGCGCTAAACGATTTTCATAATAGACATTTTGCAACCAAGTGTATACTTAGTAGTAATGTGTTATAACCAGTGGTATTATTATTCTCGTTTAAAACCAACCCAGCAGCCCACCGTTACTGTTCGTAAGCCACACAGAACGCTTAATCGTTCTATACAATATCGGTCCTATAAGTAGTCATCTATATAGTGACATAGTCAAAAGAAAATCCTTATTGATAAAAAAAAATTTGTCTCGGAGGAACTGATCTGAGTTAGGTTAACACATTTTCTTTACAAAAAAAGACTCGACTAAATTTCGAGGACTAAGTTATCAAAAAATGAGTTATTAAGTAATGAGTTTTACAAATTTCCAAAGGTTTATAACACTATACACGGTCTAATAATAGTTTATCGAAAACTGCCTAATTTCAAATTAAAATAAAGTCTTAAACTTAAATTTTCCTATAGATTTACTTGTTTGCTCTTAACGTATTACACAATTAAACAAAACGCACGCTTTTTGATTATGGACTATTACTAAGTCCATACGTCAACGGGTCTTTCTGTTAACTAGATTTTTTTTTTAATTTTTTATTTTAACGCTCAATGTAGAAATGCTCCTCGTGTAAACTAGGCACGTCCTATTATTATAGTGTGAGTGTGACCGTTACATATATTAATGACCTAACCTAATCAAAAAACTGAACACGTGGGTGGATACTTCCATAGACATTGTATAATTATTAAGTATGGTAGATATTGGATAATATAATTATATATATATTGTAACTTTTAATTATGCTGCGTTGCATCAACGTGCGTTAGTGGTCGTTTAACGTACCGTTCAATTTTATCTTGTAATTCGATAAACATTATTTATAGAGGCCCCCCGTGGTCGGTTAGGCCTGTTACAAAATTCACATCTGACCATCCAAGTAGTCGAAAGCTTTTAAGGCGTTTTTATGTAATACTTCAACAAATAGAGAACTCTTATTAGCCAGAAAACTTACATTTTTAAATAGACTTAAAAAAATTATAAAGATTAAAAAGACTAAAATCATATTATTATTTATCACTATTTTTAATTATATTAATATTACAGTTCACTTTTTATCAAATTAACAATTGTCGATTGAACGGTGAACTGAACCTGACAAGTATGCTATGTAACCTACACTGTGTTAGCACTTTTACAATGCCATTCCCCAACCAAATTTTGAAAAAATATACCGGTATCTTAAATATTGACTAACCGTTGAAACATTCTGAAACAACCAGTGATTTGGTCATAAAACAAAATTACAATTTTACTACAATTAACTACCTAAAATACGAATTAATTTAATAAATAATTTAGCTTTTATTTATTTCTGTTGTCCTAAAGGTCGACACAATCATTAGTTGGACTATGTTTTAACGTAGGTATAGAAGTTAATTTTTACATTATCAGAATTAATAATGAGTGATACAAGTTTCGGAAAAGTTGAAAGTATAAGTAAAAATTGTTGTGTGGATTTCACATGGAATGACCCAATTGTTTTTTTAATTTTGGACGTTTCTTTGTTTCGAGATTGCGCTTTCAGTTTTTGTATATTTTATCAAGTAATAAGCAAATCCATATTATAATTATTCCTATTATGCAACGATGTCTTCAAAATGTGAAGGTGGTTAGACTAACGCGTTCGGATCACGTAGATTATCTATTATGACGTTACATTATTACTCAATTAGTTTCCTACACACTCCATATTTTCTATTATTGGGCTTGGCTTTTGTCTATCGGTAAAATTCATTTGTTGGAAATGTTATTTTATAACGACTTCGGTAGTGTATCGGATACCGTTTCGAGGGCACAATTTTCGAACCACTGATCAAGGATGTCCAATTAGCTTTCTCTCGGATGATGATGTCCCGTGGAATATTACATATGCAGCTGCTTAGCGAAACACATTAGGTAACGCGTGCTATGGTTGTCATATCAATTGGGCGACCGCGACGGTAGTATGTAGTGTGTATATAAATAAAACAATGTTCCATCTGTATCGCCATCGCGCTATCCTGCTGATTAATTACCCGGCGCGCGCGTCAGACCCCGTTGGTAAATATCATAACTTATTTATTAAGGTTGTGTAAATCTTGCTTACCCGGTATGGACCGGCCGAGTTCCAAGTACTCTCGGACCGAAGGACTCAAAAAACCAGGTGGTACTTTGGTCGTGTCTTCGTCGTCCTCGCCGTCGTTGTTGCCGTCATCGTCGAGTCGGTCTCTCTGGTCCAAGTCGTCTTCGCCTTCATTGCGAGTCTCCAAAGCTCTGGTCGATTTTGACTTCTCGCCGTCTTCCGAACCGTCTGCACAAACAAGTCAATGAGATACAAAACTGAAAATTAAATACGTCTGCAAACACCATAATGTTATACAAAAACCTACGTTTAACTGACACACAAAAAAAAACTCGTTCAACAATTTTGCACATTGCGTTTGTATAGACGAATTTATTTCATTAAAATACGTATATTTATTTTATTTTAAATAAGGTATATTTCTGTATCGTGGATGGACAAATTTAAACATTTATCGTTTTTTTCTACAACGAGCATTAAAGTCTCTTCTTGTTACTACAACGTGCCCATAAAATGAAAGTGTTTATTTTTTTTTTCATTCTTGGTTAAGCGTTTATAACGTTATTATGTAATTAAATAACGGATACTGTTATACTCGTTGTGCAGAACAATCGAGAGATAACTCTTTAAGACCTACATACTTTGTATTGTGACATTATGATTTGAGCATTTTTGATTGACCTCCATTGATCGTCCTCGATAGGTAGGCAACGGTTTAGTGTCTGACCAAAAATGAGGGATCTAGTTACAAAACCAGCTATAAGCAATTTTCACAAACGACAAATAATTTCTTCAGATGGGCGATTTTGAAACCAACCAAGATTTTCCTAACACAGTTTGAGTTTTAATCTTAATTCGATATTCAATAATAGTTTTACATACCATGTATTATAGTTTGGCCACTAAAAAAAAAAAAAACGTTTTCAAAATGTCTTTTAGCTGGTTTTGAAACTAAACGCCTTGAGTATGGTTTTTATTTGGCTCGCGTATACCGAGAAAACCTAACCTAACCTGGTTTTTGCCAAATTTTTTGGCGGTGACTAACTGAAATTTGGTTTTACCCCCCGACAGTCATAGATGTCATCTGTCAAATATTTTTATCACTTTTTTTAATGTTTTTTTTTTTACAATTTTTATAAATTGCTCGACCGATTGTTGAATAATGGATTCGTTCGAAAGTGACACCGTCATAATATCGTTTCGTGTTATTATATTATATATGCGTGTATGTTATATATTATAAATATTTTTTTCTCTCTCTTTTATTTCACAATAACGTCGGGGCACGCGTTGGCGTGCGCCAACCCGAACACAGACGTGACCTCATAGCATAGGTCATAATTATCAACTCGAATGATAATAATAATATTGCCTAGCCGTGAGTATAAGTGTGTGCACGCGTTATTCATGAATTGTTGTCCGTCACCCCGTCCACCAACGTTGTGTGTAAGTTTGCTGGCATTAATGAGACTATTGTTTCTCAACTAATGATAATAATATAGTATAATATTTTTATTTTGCCAATTCACACAAAGGTGTTTACCGTCGTTATAATAACCATAATTATTGTTATAATTTTAATAGGAGGTGGGTAATGTTCATATATTTTGGCGGTTAGCCCGTGGGGGCTTTAGTCCTCCTACATACGATCTGAGTGGACTTACATTTTTAAACATTCATTTGCTTTGCCTAAGTTCAAGGAATTGAAATTGTAAAAAGGTATGAGGCTACGGACAATAGTATATCCTCGCGACTATCTCATCCGTTAAACCTCTTTTTTACACTTTAAACAACATGATGATTGTAGGCCCTGTTTAGTTAGGTTATCGATTTTCCAATTACCAACATTGAGTATTTTTTGTTCTGACTTATGGTTTTTTCCTCCTCGCGATTAGGTCATATATTTTTATTATTGGTATTGCATACTGTGAATGACCTCCTCCTCTTTCCCACCGATCCATAACATGATAAGTTCGCCTCTACAAACGACCACCTTGTCGACCTCTCCCGTAAGACTGCACCGAAAGAGAGCTAATTTCAAAAGTGCACACGCTAAATTTAAAACTCAAATCGCGGCTACATGCTTTTCAGCAGTAAGTACTACTTAGCCACATTCGTCTCCGCGGTCGGTCGAGGTCTTGCGAGACGTTATTTGCCAACACGATTTTGACCTTAAGGGGGTTATATGATATCATGTTATTGGCTCCCGGTTTTTTTTTTTTTTTTTAAATTTCGGTCGAGCTTTAGTCGCGCGGTAGGCGTCGTTTTGTTTATTATGATACGATTTTTTTTTATATAGATATATAAATAAAAATATTTATGTATCATTTTTTTTTTATCCCAATCGTAGTCGTCGTTAGTCGTTAAAAATGGCCAAGTCGTGTTTGCCCCGGAGGCGGTCAGGCCGAGTAGTGTTCTAAATACGTGACTTGGAGGCGTGGCGTTAACACGATATCATTATACTTGTATATAATATTTATTTGTGGCGTGCATTCGTCTACCCGCAAACCTTTCTCGACCAAAAGACTGGTACACTGCTTTACCTTGTTCTCGAAATGTTTTCGCCAAAACGCCTTCTTCCTATTCCCTTGCCCCGTTAACCGCCGCCTTCGTAATCATACAATTATCAACCCTAGGCTAGGATAGGTTAAAGGTATGGACCAATGTCAAAAACGGTATCATTTAGTCTATTACTATACACGAGTGAGTATATCGAGAGGCTAAATATGAAGCAGACTATAAAAACGTGTTTTAGTGTAAGGTCTTACGTTGAAAAGATTTCAATTTCAGTTCTATCAATCGTTTGATTTAAATTTTTTTAATGGTTTTTTGAGGCAATCGAACTCAACTTTGTTTGCGCCTATCTATAAGTAAAAATATGGGGCATACATGGTTTACTGGTTAGTGGATGTTTTTGTGAGAAACATGTCTAAAATTGAAATTTTTCAAAAGACCATAAAAACCTATCGTTTAACCTATGGTTTTTATCGTTTTCAAAAAAAAAATATAGTTTTAGACTTATCATATTTCTCACTAAAACTCACTAAAAACAGTAATTAAATATTAATAATATTTAATGCGCCTGTTAAGTAATAGGTGAGCAATGTGTGTTTCACGGGCGCACATTATTATGTAGAAAATTAAATATCAATGTAAATATCATTTTTATACGTTTAATAGTACACGCCTTTCACATTTGTAATATATTTGTTTAAAGACCGTTAGGTTAGCCGTAAGCTTTAAGATTATAATAAGAGAATAGCTATCGTGTTGTTCTGTTTGTAATTTGTTTTTTCGTTATTGGAAATAAATAGTTGTATTGAGGCGTTGTCGTTTTAATATATTATTATAGTTTAGGCAAACATACTGTTTAATAATTTGTCACCTTTAATTTGACATTTATCCGTTTAGCCATGTGTTCATATCGTAGCCGGTATATTTTCTTAGCCCTACTATAGTGGCGCCTTATATAGGTATATAATGAGGCAAAAATTCGATGTGTTCTGACCTCGAAGCTATTTTCAAAACATCTCTTGGTAGTAATTAACGACCGGGGTGCAGGCACCTTATATCAAAGTTCTGTGGAGATTTGAATGCGGGTATAGACAATAGTTTAATTGACCGAGCACTTGGATCTTGTCGTTGTCGTCCGTTGGCGATAATCCAAATAAAATAAATAAAAACAAACGTTCGATGCCGGAAAACCTGTTTCTTTGTGATGGCACGCCATAATGGCAAACCATTCGGAATGGTGCACATGTGTGTGTGTGTGTACTTAAAGGATTTGTGTTGTAGAATCGACCAAATTACACGCGGTTTTAATCAAACAGACTATAATATAAAGGTAGACAAGAGTGTAGAAATTGCAAATGGGTGAAAGATATTCTCTGGATTAAAGAAGAACACGTTCCGAGTTCGTCGTAGGATTGTACTAAAAATGTTTCAACGCAAAAACTCGACTCACGAACTTTGAAAAATCAGGTTTTTCCAGTAATGTTATATTTTATTGAAAAATCTCTACAGCTTATAGATAAACAGATTTAGTATCGTACGTTAGGTAACAGCTCGGCAAATAGATTTACTATAGAACGGTTTTATGTACTCGAGAGCCATATGTCGATTTTGAGACAACAAATGGAAAATCAATTAACCATAAAAATAGTTTGACAAAAGAACGTTCATTCTTTATTTATATGTTGGTGAATTAAATTTGATAAAAGGTCAACCATTGAATTTACAATACATTTCTTATGTTTAAGGGTTGTTTTTTTAACTGCTGTCCTGAAAACTTATCGTTTTGCATTTTTATAATTTTTGTCTCTTTCGAGTGTCTGCATATTTTTTATTCACTTATTGCTTCTGATGTATGACGTATATTATTGTTTGTCGTAAGCGCCGCTAAAATTGTAAGACACTATGGCCACTACAGAACACAGAAATGTTAATAATAAATGCTATTTATTATTAAAATACAGTGAAAAACGTTTTATATGCCTATTTAACGTTTAAAAAAAAAATTAACTACCCATAAAGGCACTTCATTTCGGTACCAGTAAGAGTTGGTTTCGGTTAAGTGGAAAATTAAATATTAACAAAAAATAATAAATGCATATCAACAAGTAGGTATTACGTTTTGTATAAATTATAATATATTATTTATTTTATATGTTTTGTATAAATATACCATATTTGTAACCGTGTTGTTATTAGTTTTTTTTTATTTTCCTCTTCAAAATAAAGATTGAATAAAGTGATTACGTTTTAAGGTCACACTAGACCTACCTTCTGTCTAATTTCCAGATTTTAAGCCAAAAGCTACACCTAAAAAAAGCGAAAAATATAAAAAGTTTTCACCCTTCCTAGGGTTAATTATATTTTTTTGGTTTTTCACAGTATATCGGTAGTGTTTTATCTGCAGTAGTTTTAAGTTGAACACGTGTACATTTGTTTGGCGTTTTTATCGATTTTAAAGCGGAAGGAGTGAATTTGTTAAAAACATTGGCGTCGTACTAAAGTAGTAACATTGGTGTACGATTTCTTATATATATATATATATATATATATATAGGCTACGTCAGACACATAAATAAATATATATATATATATACATATATAAATGAAAACACATCATTTTAAAACCAAAAATACCTGATCCTTCTCGGTGGTCGAATCCAAAAACAATAATAATTGTCGAGAATAATATGGTACTTACCAACGGTGGACACGAAGACGACGGCCGTCGCGAGCGTCGTACACACGAGAACGGCGCAGATTTTTTTGGATAACATTTTTTTTAAACAATTTTTCTTGTTTCGCGGTCGTTCGACGATTCGGACGCGTTTCGATAAATAATTCAATCGTTTTATGTTTTATGATTTTCTTTTCTTTTGGTCCGGTGGTCGCGCGACCGACGATTTTTTGTCTGTGCGAGAACGTTCAAGGAAGCCCGTTGACGGCTCACTCGTGCTGGCTCTGCTGGGCCCATGACCGGTCACGCGACTGCTTTGCCGTGGCCTCGGTCAGCCTAACCCGAAGGAGCGATCCGAATCGCACACCGGAAGGGGAAGTGTGTGCGCGACGAGGAAGGGTTTTATGTCGACGAGGATGTACAGTGTTGTTAAGTCGGCTATTAGTAGCGCACTGTACATAATATGTACACACAATCCGAATTCTGACGGGGTCATTGTAAAGGTTTTTTGGAAATCTGTTTTTTTTTTTTTTCATATACATTTTCTTTTAGCGTTCACAACACCGACAACGGACAGTTAAGTCATCAGCTCTATGTGTCGTGCCTTACGATGAATGTGGATGCTTATTATTATTATTATTATTATTATTAATATAATAGTTCGGAGCGGTGTCGCCTTACGGTTGTTGTGGGAGCGCAAGGACGCCGTGGTGTGAGAAGGTTATCCGTGATGCGAGTTTCCTTTCCTCTTTTGGCTGTTAATATTGTAAATCTATTTTATACACGAATAATAATAATTGTAGCGTTGCTTCCAAGTATACTATTCCATTCAAACGAATCGTTTAGCCAAAGCTTTACGATGTTGTTTCCGCTTACCAACTGGTCCCGTCCCGCCCACTTTTCTAATAAGACAAATACAATACAAAAGGAAAAGTTGAGGCGCGTCAAAACCTGATCAAACCAAAACAAATAAAATTTCACGAATGTGAGCAAATAACCTAACATTTGTTTATTAAACGGGTTAGTAATCTAACGATGGAATCACAACGATAACAAATATTTAAGTCAGTTGCCCTAAAATAAAACGTTATGATGAAAGTTTTTTTCGTACAAAAACATATCTTCAGAAGAAGGTTATTATTAATTAAATACAAAAGAAACTTTGGCTGTTTATTTTTTTTCATTCTCTTTGGGGTTACTAAATTTAATTTTAATTTTTTTTTCTTTCAATTTATATTATGTTAATGTGTATATTTATTTTTTTGGTTTTCAGAACTTCAACGTGGAAGTACAGGCGTTCCAGAATAGCCGTACAAAAAAGAAATACACTTCGGTTGACGAAATCAAACACACCGTATCGACTTACATGTCTGTGGTGATTGGCGCTTTACAGAATAAAGAACAGTCACTTTTGGATTTGTTGGACAAATCTGAACATGCCGACATAAACTCGATGAATAAAATCCTAAACCAACTCAACGGTTTAATCGATGTAATAATGAACTACAGCATTTGGAATATGTTGGACCAAATCCAACTTTTTTTTTTTACTTTAAAATTATAATTTCATAATAATTGAGGAACTCATTTTAATATTTAGGAATTGCAAAAAAATTTGATGTTATTCGACCAGTCAATAAAGCAGAAAAATTTGTCGTCCTTTGTATTGAAAAATGCCATCTTCGACATTAAGAACATGTTGGACACCAGTTATTCGATCGCAAAAAAAAACAAAGTCCAGCCTTCGATTCAAATGGAAGACAGTCTTTTCGATTCAATTCAAAATTGTTTCACTATCAACTTCGATACGTCTGATACTTACATTTTCGGATATTCAACAGAGTTTCCGCCAGACTATAAGATAAAAACAACAATCTGCATAAGTGATGACGGTAAATGGCTTGTTGGATGTCATGTAATTTTGTATAATTTGTTTTAATCACTGTTTTATATTTCCGTGTGCAGAATTATCAAAGAGGCCGGTGTCGGTGTCGAGTGTTTCCACCGTTTCAGATAGCGTTACCTCAGGGTCTTCCGACGTCATTGCCCGTGATCCATTGCCTACTACCGTTACGCATGATTCGATTGCCATTAAAATGATTTCCAAGAATGTCGTCGAGCCCGTAATTGTGACTGCCGTCAACGCTCCGTCAGACTTTTATCTTCAACTCCTGGCCAACAACGATATACTATCAATGATCAAAGAAGAGCTGGCCAAGTACGCAATCACAAAGCACAGAAATGTAGAAAACATCGAGAAGAGTTAGTAGCTGTTTATGTTTGAAAACATATTTTTGTATGCTAATCTTTTACTTACAATGGAATAATGAATATATTATTTCTAGATTGTGTAGTGTATTCCGTGTTGACTTCCCACAAAAATTGGTGTCGTTGCAACGTAATGAACAGCTATGAAGAAGACGGACAAATGTTGTACACAGTTCATAGCATCGATTATGGGTTCACGGAAACCGTTAAACATGACAAGTACATGCTAATCCTTATTTAATTATCATATGATTAGAAATCAATAGGGGTACTATTTGTTTTTTTTCAGAATTCGAAATGTTCCGTTCAAGGTAAAATCGATACCTCCGTTGGCTATCCACTGTGCTCTCTATGACTTGAAACCTAATGTACAACTTGGATGGTGCAACGAAGCATACAAACTTTTTTGTGAACTGATGTTTAACAAGTCTGGAACGTTTTACGTGTATCCAATGGAAACTCTGGGTGAAGTCATAGAAGTAGACGTCGTTTGGAGAGATATGTATCCATTGTCCATACGAGACGCGCTATTCTTTTTGGGCTATGGATCATTCAACTTCTATGTAAACGAAGCTCTAGTAAGATTTGGTTTTCATAATTATGTCATTATCGAAAGAAATTTGTTGCTATGTTTAATTAAAATCTTCCATTTTCAGCACGACAAGCTAGTGAATTTGATCACATTGCCGAATGTCGTACTTATGGAAAAAAATGAATCCCTCCCCATTACAATAACTCATTTTGTGTCGCCGAGTGAATTTTATCTACGCGTTGTAAGTGTCTTTGCATTGTACTCTTTATAAAACCATTTATATATATAAAAAATGTAATATTATGTTGTTGTAAACAGGCCGACAGTAGTACTGCTCTGCTGGACAACGTAATGCAACGGCTACAGGACATTTATAAGCCCACAGAGGACGCAATGCATAAAAGCTATTTACTGTACACTCCACAAATCGGTACTAGAGCATCTGTCTCTAAAGAATGTAATAAATCTTCTAATATTATAACAACAACAATGATATTCTTACAGGTATGGCGGTGGCGGCTAAATTCTCTATCGACAATACATGGTACAGAGCCAAAATTATAGAAATACCCGAATCTCGTATGGTAACCGTATTTTATGTTGACTTTGGTAATAGCGAAACCCTGCCGTGGGACCAATTGAGGGTACTTGACTCGAGTCTTATAAAAATATCGCCGCAGGTGAGTTTTGTTGTTGTTGGTTGAAAATAATAATTATTTTCGATTTTCTATTGATGCGCAGGCACTAAAAGCTAAGTTGGCGGGACTCATTCCGGCCCATAATGGTCTAGAATGTAGTGAATGGTCTCTAAAAGCGAACGCGGCCGTGATGGAAATGACGACTATCAATTGCTACGTAGCAGAATTTTTGGAGGTCTTGGTGAATGATGTGGACGACAATGGCGTGCACAGCGTTACATTGTTTAATCGTACAACGAGAGGAGAGTATTCAATCAACAGAAAACTTGTATCGATGGGTCACGCATTGCCGATGAAATCTAGCTCTTATGTATACAACAACAATGCCGTTACCAACAGGAGGAAACCCCTTCCGGATGCTTCACTGCTGGTAAACTGTAGAAATGTTTGTATATATTTTAATTATTTACATCACGTCAAACTAGTAATTTTTTTATTTTACTTTTTAGAGATCGTATTCGTTTGATAGTGAAGACTCGTTGAAGTTTGATGGAAACCAAGCCCAACCCCCAACCGACAAAGAATATAAACATGACACTTCTAATCAAAATAAAAGCGATGCGCCTGGTGTGGAAATGTCAATCGTCCGAGTTATTAGTCCAAAGGAAATAATTTTGAAGACGATCAATTACAACCCCGCCAAGTACGATGAACGTCATAGGCTTAAAACTTCAATAGAGTATTATTGGTAAATGGTAATGATCAATGTTCAACGAATTTCAGATTAACGGAACGAATGAACAAGGAATATACGAAAAAAAATTCTAAGAAATTGCAAAAAGACCACTGGAAAGAAAATGATAAATGCGCTGTATTTATTAATAGGTTTGGAAATTGGTATAGGGGACAAGTCACCAAGATAGACCATGTAACTAAAATAGTATCTGTAAGTATATATTTTTTTCTTGATTCTACAATTTAGTTTATGACGATGACAAATATTTACAATTAACTCGACCGTTTTTGTTGGTTTTTTCTAGGTTTACTTTTACGATTTAGACGAAACGATTGAATACAAGTCGACTAAAAATTTGTACGTGCTCGAAGATAATATTTGTAAAGAAAAATGTGGTATTATTCACTGCTCGATGTACAAACTATTGCCACTCGGCACATCAAATGGCGAGTGGCCGATGTATACTTGCGATCGTCTATCAGGAGAATTGAATAAATACTCTTCAGTTTATATAAACAAAAAAGTAAGAGGAGTATCCTTTACATATCTAAATATTTAGTACACTTATTATTTATTTTATTTTGTTAGGGTCGAGAAGGCGATATAGTTTGGGTAGAGATTTGGGTTAAAGACTTGAATAAACCGAAAGCTTTGGAACCATTGCGCACTTGTTGGATTAATATCAATAAGTTTATGTTAAAGGAGGGTTTGGCCATGTTGGATAAAAAGTAAGCATTTAAACCAAAAATTATTGAATCTGGTAATACTATTAGAGCAATCATTATAGTTATATTATTCATTTATTTAAAAATTTATTCGTCTCTTTGTTTATTTTTTCAGAAATAACGAGGTGAGTGTTGTAAAAAAGAAAGCCAAAAAGTTAAAGCGCAAAAAACAAATTACAGATTAACTATGCTAGTTTTTAGTTTGGTTATGTTTACTGGCTAAAATGAGTATTTTTGTTATTATCTATTAATCTAAGATATCTTTTTTTGAAAATTTCTTGTTACAAACATTTGTATTGTAGTTTATTAAAAATTTAACTCATTAGTGTTACAAAGTTGGTTTTAAAAATAATTCCATTAACAATGTTCAGTATTTTCGTTTTATATAAGAACGTAAAATAGATATCAATTTTTATAAAGTTTTTACTATTTATTTTGTTTTCTTTATTTAGTTGTTCATTTTAATTTTAACATTATAATTCTGCTTTGTAGTTTGAATTTTTTTTTATTTGTGTAATAGTGGTAGAGTATATTACGGTTAGCTGTTGACTTTCAAATTTTAGTTTATTCAGATAAATGTTACTATTATTTCTTTCATACTTATAGTAGAAATCAGTTACAACAAGTTCCAAGTATTCTAACTGGTTAGAACGAGCGTTCGTCGTAAATAAAATGTTATAATTGAGTTTTGTTGCTATCTCTTGTCAACATTTTTAATTCCTTGAATTTAATATCTTTAAAAAATCCTTGATCGAACTTTGCTTGATGGAATATTTAGTGTCGACTGAAGCTTTTTTTTTTTTTTTTAATTAGCCTTTATTTGCAATAAGACGGCTCAACGATTACAAATATACAATCTGTGATATAATTTGAAGCTTTTGTTGTACTATAAAATTTGAATGTAATAAAATGATCATACACACTACCAACGTTACTCGTAATAATTATTAACTTGAAAACGCCAGAAACGTATTTCTATATCAACATAATAATAATAATAATACACATTCACATATAATTATCAACTTGTATACATAGATGTACACATCCATATCTAAACAATAAAAGATAATGATTTTCTCGTTGTAGACGATGTAAAATTTTCTCATTATAATTATACTCCGATTCTTGTTGTAGTGATTTCTTATGTATTGTGTTAAAAAATAAACCTATAGACTGACAGTTATCATTCTTAAGGTTGTCTTAATTTGTTCATTGACCATTTTCATAGCGATTTCATAAATTTATTTATTTTACTAATCAAATATAACATTGCTTAATTAACCACACTCATTTTGTATGGGCAGTTTGGTAAAGAATTATTTCTCAACAGGATGATGACGAATTGAGTTCAGTATTCGAATCGTCTTTTGACAACTTGTCGTTTGACTTCAATCATAGTTCGGTCAACGCTTGGCTCCCGCCTGAGCCGTTGGTTAAAACTAAAATCAAAGCTCATGTTACGTATGTTGACACGCTATGTCAGGTGTACTTTTACGATGTCGAAAGTGGTATGACTAATTCAGTGTCGTTGCGTCGCTAAACTGGTATGATATTTTTATTTTGTGTGTGCTATTTTAGATGCTCCACAAACTTTGTCAACTTTGTCGACCGATCTAAATGAACTGTTTGCCGAAAGCTTACCCGAACCGATTGACTTGAAATGGGCCAAAGGGCAAATGGTAATTGCCAAGTATCATTTGGACAACTTGTGGTATCGCGCAACAATATTGAATGTAATGTGTTTTATTTGTTAAAATGACTTGGTACTATTTAAGTTGAGAATTAAATCATTTAATCGTGTATTGTCTGCTCGATCAATCGTACAGAAGGAGGAAACCGGAGAAGAATACCGTGTGCAGTTTATCGATTACGGCAATATCGAGATGTGCACTCATGACGATTTACGATCCACTCTACACATGACCGACATACCGACTTTATGTGTCAAAGGATATTTTGAATCCATCTTACCGGTATGTGAAAAACTAATTAACTTATATTATGATATAATTCAAAAATGATATCGTTGACTTTAATGTTGTATTTTTTAGCTGACGGGAAATAAAGTATGGCCTACGTCCGTCTTGGACTTTATTCACGCTCAGTTGGTTGAGAAAGAATGCAATATAACAATTAACGCTAGTTATTCGACTGAAGATACTTACATGGTAAAAGATTACATTAAAAAACAAAAACTATCGGTGCCGTATTTCTAAAAGGTCTCTTCAATTTTCAGATCAAGAACTTGAGTACAGCGGACGCGGACAATTTCTTGGACTACTTGGTGTCCATTAAAAAAGCATACTACAAACATATTCCATCGTCTATGATTAACTTTGATGACTACAACGAGTTCAAATCAGAAGTTTTGGCTCCAGACCATTCGTCCAGTTATAATGACTCGCATGTAGAAAATTATGGGAACAATCACCAAGACATTGACAAATTTTCCACTGAAGAAACAAAATCTAACTGTTCTTTAGAAGAAGAAGAGGAGGAGGAGAAGGTATTTGACACGTTTTTTTGTCTGTTTAACACGTTTATCATTTTTATATATATATATATCTTTTTATAATATATCAACAGGCTAACGAAGAAAAACAAGGTTTTATGGAATTTGATTTAACGGGTGTCACCGCTGAAGGGACGGTGACCGAAGTGTTGAAACCAAATAAAGTGATAGTAATTGTGAACAAAATTGACGACTTTAACGTGGCGGCTGCCAAAAATACTATGAACATGGAAATGCAAAAAAAGTGTTCCGATCTCGTAACCCCTAGCGACGTCTCACTGGGTAGGTTGTATTTTAAAATAATTAAATAATGGGGTAGTAATTTTTTTTTTTTTTTTAGGAACACCCGTTTGTGTTTTTTATAAGTGCCTGTGGAGACGGGGCGTCATAAAACACGTCAAACCAACAATTTTAGTCAATTTAGTGGATTTGGGTATTACAGCTGAAGTGTACCAAAAGTAGTGAGTAATGACAAAATTGGTGTGAAACCATTTTTTTGTTTTACTAGCAATAATGATGTTTATCTTTCTCCCCCTTAACAGCATTAGATTGTGTCCTCCAGAGTTTTTGAAATTACCAATATATTCAGTCAAATGCCAATTGGCCGGCGTGACGATAAACGAACGCCGTGACGAAACGTTCGTCATACAAGCGCTATCGAATGTATTGAGTAATGTCAATTTGACAATTGTCACAAAGGTACAATAAAGTCAAATATTAGTCTTTTGTTGATTAGCTAGGTTTTTAAGTTTTTTTTTTTTTTTATTCCTTTAGGGTAAATCAAACAGTGCGGTTGTTGTGGAATTGTACGACAACAAAGGGGCACTTGCTTACCAGTCGTTAATCAAATCTGAACTTCTAATTCTACCTTAATATTAGTACTGATAAGTGTTAATAATTTATATGATCCCCATATAAAACTAAAATTTCCTATTGTATTCTTTTATAAATATAACTTTGTATTGTATAGATGTTTTATCGTTAACACAAAGATGTTGCTTTCTTTATAGAGTCTATGTATATCAGTGGATGTCGGTAAAACATACCTCGTTATCAAAATGTGATCTAAAGTAATTAATAGTTAATTTTGTTTAAACATCTAAGATATGTACTTTGTTTTTTTTGTATTTTGACAGTTAATGTTTTTTTGTTAGTAATAATGTTTCAATTGAATGTACGTAACAATTGTATTTTGAAATAAAACAGGACAACAAGCCAATAAATGTCATAAATATATTTTTGTTTTATTTACAAAGTTTAAAGCGTGTACAAAGAATACATTTACATAAATAATAATAATAATAGTTTTGTAACCCGAGCTTTCTCTTCCTACCGCGTAATATAAATATATACAGACATATTAATCGTAACAGTTCAAACACCGAAAATTGGATGATGAGACGACGATACTCGAATTTTCAATTGCAATCCGTCCCCCGCTTACACGTATACTTTTCGCCTATTATCGTTTGTTCTTTTTTTCTGATATTCTTCTTTCTGAAGCTTCACCCAAGTGTCTCCCAGTGCTTTGGCGAAGTGATCGTCCACTGCTGCAAAGCGCAAACATTTAACGTGAACATCGTATTACAAAATAAAAAGTGACGTAACAAGTGAATACAAAGGGTTACTTTACCGGAAAGTCCGGTGTTCTCTTCGGGCGACTCGTCTGCCGTTTCCTCTTGGACCGCGACGGCTGGGGCGAACACGCTCATGTAGTCTTTGCCCAGCGACCTCCTGAAGTGTTCGTCGATCACCGGATCGCTCATGCCACCTGCCCCGGTCGTCGTTGTGGTCGTGGTCGTTGTTGTCGGCGGTCTGCTCAAGACGACTGACGGCGGCGACGACGAGGCCATGATGACCGAAGCCCGTTCTTTAGGAACCGTCGCTGACCTGCCGGCATTAGTCGTCATGTCCAACGGCTCTTGGGTACTTCTGAAACTTGACCGTTAAGTTAACGTTGAGTAATTAGTAACGTCTTGTCATATAAATATTTTTGCTAATTTTAGGAGGAACAGAATTCAATTATGGAAAACTTTTCCCAACCTAGATGATCCCATACAAGCCCCCCCCCCTCCCCCAAAATAACGGTACTTGGGAAGGGTCTCAAAAATGTTGAAAATAGTTTTAACCAATACTAATTGAATCACAAAACTAAATTATTTCCTGTGAAATCCTTTTGAAAATTGATAAAAACTTTGATTTCCCCCAAAAAAATTACATTTTACCAGAATAAAAATACATCACTTTGGAACGCTTTTTTTCTAATACTACTTTGGTTTTTTTAATAAATAAGCGTAAACCAAAAACCCATTGTTCTTTCCGTTGATAATAAAAATATATCGCCGTCGAGTGATGTCGCTTTGAAAGAGAATTCGTTGGAAGGTAATATCGTGGAATAATTAATTTAACGGCCGGTGTGTATGGCACCATAATATATTTTCATGAAATAATAAAATGTAATTTTATTTGTCGTTTAAAACGAATCGGCCGTTTCCAAGGCGCATTCGTCTCTCGATCGACTTATGGTCACTAACTGTCTGTCAGATCTGTCTTGACTTAAGTATCCATCGTGACGACATTATGGGAAAAATTACATTCATCTAGATCCCGCCTGCTAGTTCTACTAGTTGTTCTCTGGCCTTTAGTCGATGAGTTATTGATTCGTGTATTCAAATTAGGGACAGCTGAACTTTGCCTCGTTTTTTTGCCACTGCAGTTCGAACGGATAGACGAAAATGTATAAATGGGATTTTAGAAAATCCAGTCCTTTACGTTATCCGACCGGAAATAACACGTCTTACATAGGAGCTGCCTTAAGTACTCACTTAGTCGGCGATACCGGTGACGTAACGGCTCTGTGTCTTCTCTCCCGCTTCCATTTGCCCACGGTGCCAACGGTTCCTTCCATAGCCGAGCATCTCAACGACAACGACCTCGAGTGATCTGCAAGCAAACGGATCAAATACTTAATAAACATAATAAATCATAATAATATTATTATAGCGGTCAATCCGGATTCCCTACCGCCGACCAACGTCTCGATTATAATAATATTAATTAACATATCTATTCGTTATGAGAAGAGTCGTCGGTGTAACGTTTTAATCTAACGTGCGGATCATAGTTAAACGTGATCTATATATTATATATATATATATTAAAAAAAAAATGTATAATCGAAAAAAAACTAATTAGGATAACTCGGCGTTTACTGGAAAATGGTAATCGTGGTTAAAATTTCAAGGAAAACGACAAATATTTTCCGAAATAACAATACAGAGGATAATTGTGTTATCTACAAAAGAAACTGTAATGTCGGCCCTACTGAAAACATTAATAATAATTAAGAACAGGCAACGGAAGATAATTTTATTTCTCTCTCGCCAAGTATATAATACTATATAATATATTGGTTATTGTATATTTTAATAATAATAATAACTATGTTGGTCGCTTGTCGCACTATTATTTACACGGTGGCCGTGTCAAAACCGATTAAGTATGTACACTCAAACGCACGTTTTCGCACTATTATCGTTTGTACATATATAATATATATATTTTAGTACTATCTAATGCCACTGCGGACTACCTATATCCGTTTTCCCATGGAACGCGACAGGAAGGAAGAGGATGTACACGACCGTCTCACACACATATACACCGTCGGCTTGGCATACGCGCTCGTTTCCTGTGCGGCGGTTCGTGATTAACATTAAATTAAACACAACTCGGACTGTTATTATTATTATTTCCATCTATTCGGTGTATATACTGTACTCGTGGACTTACAGGACAAACGTGCATAAAATTAAACGGACCTGGCGCCCCCGCCCAAGAGTCTCGTGTGACGACCTTTTTCAGATGTTATCCGTCGACAAGATACGCCTAACCTATTGTAGTAAACAAAACACACCCTGAAGGAATCGTCTCTCGTACATGTGTATAGGTATTACTATTATTGTGTATTGTAAAATACCCTACTGGTCAATAGGGTGAGGTAGTGCTGCTGCTACCCGCGTCCCCGGACGTTTGATGTGTTTTTTTTGAAAGTGCGTTTTTGTGTTTTGAAAACAAAAAAACCACGGAACCGGATTAGGTACAGTTAGGTTTTATTCGTTTTAGTATTGATTTGTATAGTTTTCTTCCCCCCCCCCCATGTTGGTACATTAGTTAGTCTCCGGTGCCAACCGAAATTAACGACTGTCAAAGAATATTAAGCTAAGCCGGAGAAATCCGGTAGGTCCTATATATGTACATGTACAAAAACAATAGGCAGTTTTTCTCGGTGACGTCGCTGGAGCGGAAAACGCCATGTACTCTTCAATATTTTTTTACACTATTCCAACAGCAAAGCCACAACACAAGTCGTACAACAATCGTACCGTTTGGATTTTGCACGGATATTAGTATTGACGTTTTTTTTTTTTTTCTCTTTCGGGTTTACACACCTAAATACCGTAGTGCGGGGTCGTTTCTAAACCGATTGCAAACGGATTGGCACCGCGCTGTCTCAGAATTGAATTGAGAGTCCTTAAAAAAATCATAGTATACAAAAAAAAAAGTTCATCGTCAAGTCGAGTTTAGACTATATTACATTATTTGATGAGGTGTTGACATTTAATATTACTACCCTCCAAGTCGCTCGAGGTAAAAGCTGCAAAGCTGCTTGAAAATATCATCTCCTCATCACTTGATACTTGACCGGTTTTAGCTGGGAATTTCTAATGCCCGTAAACACTACTCCGTATAATTTACATAGTTTTTAGAGGAACTCCTAAAAGGGCGGAAGTCGTTTTTATTGAGAAGATATCTACACGAATGAGCCCGTACAGTGTACAGATATAAATTCGGTGAGCCCAAGAGCAGCGTGGGCGACGTTGGGGGAAACGTGCGTGCACCGAAGGTACTATAATATTATAGTATAATAATACCGACTATTGTCCGATTTTGTGAACGGCGTGGTATGGCTCGTGGTATAATAATATAATAATAATAATAACAATAACGTTATCTTAATGGCAGTAAAGCGCACGTTCTGTCCACGTAAACACAACTGATGAACGGCAATAATTCACTTGTAAACGGCGCACTGAGCGCCTGTCTGTTTTTGACAAATCCGTCGATAAATACATTTTAATTTTTTTTTATGAATAAAGAAATAATACCAACAACCCATGAATGGCCGTTCGCCCACATATACATGTCATATACACGTATAACACTCGTGTCGACGGTATAAACACCTATAAAAATTATACTCAATCCTACTACTACTACTACTGCAGAGCCTGTCTCGAGTCATCAAAACGTATTATAATCGCAGAAAATCCGGTACACATATTAATCGAGAGAGAATTGGATACTATACTATTAGATTGAATTATCTAATAGTATACACATTCGGAAACGGGCAAACTCATGATTTATAGATGTGAATTTCTTCCAAGTCAAATAGGCAAATTGAGCCAGTTATAGATTGACTTAGCGTGTTAAGTCTAGTGAAACACCTGCCAAAATGTATAAAGCCTAATAAACAACCAAAATCCACTTTGGAGAGATTGAATGGACGTTGGTGAAAAATGCCAATTATTTGTTTTTGTAAAATATATTTTTCAATACATTTTATTGTATTATAGTATACCTATGTTTAGAGAGATCTAATCGGCAAAATGGGAAATTTCTTATTCTTGAAGTGTGACACGATTAGAATTCAGTAAGAAAAACATGAAAAGAAACAGCCAATAAACCAGCGATAAGTATGGTTGAATTTGAATTAAACAAGGGGAAAGCGTCTAGAGTTTAGGCATTTGTACACTGAACTGGCAGCTGGTATGATCAACAAAATATTCAACGGGATGGACTTCAAAACTAACTTGTAAGATAAAACAATGTTTTTGTTTCAATTAGCTGTTTATCTCTCAGCTAACACGAGAGACTTCTTTCGGTAGTACCGAAACCTTACCCACCGGGGATCTTTGACCAGCCAGTGCACGTGCTTCGGCCAACTTTTTTTAAAATAAGTTTGTTTGTATTCCAACGTTTGATACGTCACGATAGGTAATCGTTTTAATTATACCATTTCCTATCGTCGAGACAGTGTATCATTTAAGGTAATATTATTAAATTTGAACACAATACAAGGCGACCGTTAAAGGGGTAGCCACCCTAGTAGGGTAGCTGGTTTTTTTTTTTTTTTTTAGCAAATTCCTATCATTATAACCAATAATTAGTGTTATCATTACCGTCGTCGGCCAATTTCGAGCTCTCCACCCAGGGCTGCCACAGGTGTCTGCTCCTGTCCACCTTGTTGTTGCGGACGTCGTGCAAGCGTATGCCGAACAGCGCGTTTCGTCGCACGCATAAACTCATAGTATTGTTTGTTTTTTTTTTGCGTCCGGATAAAAAAAACTATCAATTATAATTTAATTATTGCGCCACGGCCGACTATTTAATGATTTAATATTTTTTACTCTAATAATAATAATAATAAAGCGACCGTTCGACGGGCGTCCAACACCGGCGCGTTACTAACGCTGAATGACGAGTGACGACTGACGACGACGACGACGACGGACACCAACAACAGTCAACAACAACAACAACAACGCAAGACGTTCCGGCCGCCGCGGTTCGGGTTCTCTCATTCATGATGGCTCTCCCGACCGAGGGAACGCAACCGGTTGCGCGGACGAGGCGCGCGTTTCCCCCCACGGGTACGACGGGTCGGGGGGTCGCGCCCAACGTGCACTCCGCCGGGCCCTCTTAGACCCGTGCGAACGCTTCCTCCTCGGGTCTTTTTTTTTTTTTCATTAATAACATCACCACCGCCACCCCGGCCGCCCGCAACAGGTACACACACATAAAGACACACAGATAAAGGCTTCACCGGAAACTACAACGCCTCCGGGCCTAAGACGTCGTACCCGGGGCTCGACCGCGTCGTCATTATTATTATTATTATATGCACATACATCATATTTCTTTAAAAAAAAAAACACATACATACATATATAATATATATACTTTTTGAGCTGGTAGATAATATAATATACATGTATGTGGGTATACACGTACACGATTATCATCATCTCGCCGCACGGTCCTTCCACCCCTGGGAGCCAAAAAAAAAAATCCAATAATAACCCGACCGTCGATTAAAATTATTATTACCTACTACACGCACACGTCACGACCCGATACAGTTTTCAGTAAAAAAAAAATATATATGTATAATAAATGATTAGTAAAACATCAAACGACTACTAGTCTTTGTTGGCCACGTACCTATTATATTATTAATATTATTATAATGTATATTTATATATATATATATATATATTAAAACGATAATAATAATAATAGGTCTTAAACGTTTTTACTGCACACGGTAGCCGCCGGACCGGCGGTAATTATTATTTGTGCGGTTAGGCTATAATATTATACATATTATTATAATAAAAACTCCGGAGGCTAAGGTCGGTGTAAATGTTTGTATTTTTTTTTTTTATTTATATACTTGCCTGTTATATCTTTACGGTAGCGTTTTAAAACGAGAAAAAATACGAAGACGGGTTAAGAGTGTCGGACATTCCACGTTTGCGTTTTTTGTGTGTGAGCTGGTCACCAGCGCTGAAGACATGGCAGCGCGTCGGCACGATGACGGCGACATGGTGCCATCTCACATCGAGAATTCCGTGGGAAAGTAAAAAATATTCAAAAAAAAAAAATAATAATAATCTTGTAGTTTAATAAATAAATAGTCGAGTCCCGGTTTCTGGGATATCGATTTGCATACTAGCATATTATAGGCGCCTATGACTTCTTACACAACTGAACGCAAGCGACGTTCCTCTTTCGAAAAGAAATCCGCCATTATGTATACCTACCGAAGATTCAACAACACATTAGGCAGGGAATAGAAAATTTACTCTTATAACGCG